GACCGGGAAAACCCATAATCACTTCGATAGATGGACCAAGAGAAGTCAGCAATTTTGTACAGGTATTCTAATAATGTTTCTTCTCACTAGTCTTGTTTAACTGTTGACAGTTCTGTATTATATCATTTATGAAATATATTTTCTCTATTGAGGCTTTGACTATACTGGGTGTTTTTCAAAAAGTGTCCAACCCCCATAACTTTTTATTTTTTCAGATAAATAAACGATATTTTGTACATGACATAAATGAGAATAGATTGACGTATTTTTTTAATTAGTTTTGTTAATTTCCTGTTTCCTCAGAAAGGACTACAACTTTTGATTTTTAAATGGTACTAAGGCTATTTTTTACTTTATTTTATAGAAAATTACATTGTGGTTTTGGTTTTATTTCTATAATCATATATCAACATTTTCAATTAAAAAAAAATAAAATTTTAAATATGTGGCACCAATTATGTTGCACTATATACATACATCATACTGCAACAAAACCCGCTTGATACTTTAGTTTCGGATATATAAACTTAATCGGACCTTCTAAAAAATTATTTTTTTTTCAGAAACTATTTGAGACAGAGTTCACCAAAAATATTTTATAACTACTACTGGATAAATAAATTTGTAGTATGGTATGACTTTTTTTGAAATTTTAATTTCGGAGATATAAATTTAATCGGACCTTTTAAAAAAATATTTTTTTTTCAGAAACTATTTGAGACAGAATTTACCAAAAATGATTTTTATAACTACTACTGGGTAAATGAATTTCTAGTATAGTATGACTTTTTTTGAAACTTTAGTTTCGGAGATATAAATTTAATCGGACTTTTAAAAAAATTATTTTTTTTCAGACACTATTTGAGACAGAATTTACCAAAAATGATTTTTATAACTACTACTGGGTAAATGAATTTCTAGTATAGTATGACTTTTTTTGAAACTTTAGTTTCGGAGATATAAATTTAATCGGACCTTTAAAAAAATTATTTTTTTTCAGACACTATTTGAGACCCAATTATTTTTGTGTTTTTTTTCTCTTTAAAAATTAAATAATAATTTTTATTTCTACAAAAACCAGATACAAAACAGTGATTCGACTTAATGGACACATTTTTTTGTAGAATAACGCTTCAAACATTTGCTAAAACAATTTTTGCTTATTATCTCGAAACAACGTTTATGGGATAAGGCGGGTTTTGCAACTTGACGCATCAAATATTTACTTCCTCAGAATTGATAAAACGGTAAATCCCCATTATATCAATTTGAATTTATGTATTTTATCAACGGTTTAACATATTTAGGGCTATTTCAACCATAAAATACCTCACTGATATTGACACAAGATACGGATTTTGAAATGCTTTAAAATATATATTTTTATTTTTTAATTCTCCATCTAACACAGGTATACTATACAGTGTGTTCAAAAAAAAAACAAAGAAAAATGATTTTATATTTTAGAAAGTTTGGCATAGAATTTTGAACGCAATAAATATTTAGAAAAATTATTATAGGCGCACCCCTGAACAAACTCGTAACCATGTACACCAGTGTATACACTAGCGTAAACCCACACACAAATATTCCTACACCAATGTACATTAGTGTAACTGCCTAACCAGCATAATCTGTACCTTAAGGAATCAACAAACAACGAAGTGATTTTTTCCCTCTTTTTGTATATTTCTCCTCATTATTTCAACTTTTATCAAAAATATTTAGAATAGTTTTGATTTCAGAACATTTGTTGTATTATTAATAATTTAAAAAAAAGGCTGAGAACACTTCTTTTTTTTAATAATATCTTAGGATTTTGTAAAGTGATCATAATATGTACGGTAAAGCTGTACGGAAGCCAAAAATGCAATAATATACAGAGTGTTCTATTTTAAAAAAAATCATCTCGATTCACTCACACTTTTTTGAGCCTCCCTGTAGAAGTTAAAATATTTTCCTGAAATACATCCTAACACGTACTTTAGGTTGGCACTTATACAAAATGCCTGTTTTTTTATAATAGGAGGTACAGATGCCCGACGCACTGTTGCCGAACCCTTATAGAGTATTAGAAACGACCTTGAACCGTTTACCGCTTGAACCGTTTGACTTTGAACCCCTAATTGCGGCAACTTTTACTTATACATATATACAGCCATTGCTCGCTGACAACACACATCAGAAGATGGTCACGCAAGGCGTTTTCTTTCATGAGCTTTTCTGTGACTGAAAAGCCCGATACGTGATGTTATCTGCCTACCGCACTCCGGACATTCAAAAATCTCATTGCTTTGTTGCATCTTTACTTTTTGGTTGTCGCTGTTAACTGAGTTTACAACTCTTCTCCATTGAGTTCTATTGTGGGCTGCTTCTTCCCACTCATTCTGCATGTTAATTCCCTTTAAGTTTTCGTGGAAAATGTCCTTGTACCTTTTCAGTTGTCCACCCGGCCTCCTCTTACCGTCTACAAGCTCACCGTAAAGCAGAGATTTTGGTATGAGGGTTTTCTTGCATTCTGCATACGTGACCAGCCCATCTCAAGCGGGATTTTGTAACCATGACCTCAATACTCTCGCAGTTAGCTTTTTCAAGGACCGATACGTTTGAGACATGATGGAACAACCGGATTCTTAAGAGTTGTCTAAGGTGTCTCTGTTGCAACTTGTTTAATGCGTTCATGCGGCGGAACGGCACCCAGGTTTCACACCTATATAACATGGTGGGGATTATAATTGCTCGGTACACTGCAAACTTGCAGTGTAACTAAACTTAGTTTTTGTACACAAGGCATGATTGTATAAAACCCTGTCTTTTAATTTCCAGAATGCTCTTGACGCGCTGCTAATCCTGTGCTAAATTTCAGAGCCAATATTGGCCTTTTCCGAAATCAAACTGCCGAGGTAATTGAATTCCGCCACATATTCCAATAGTTCTTCTCCGATTTTTATAGCATTGTTGTAATCTTCAGGGGGAGTGCACATGATTTTAATTTTTGTCGATGTTTAGCTTAAGGCCCAAAGCCTCGTATGCCCAGGCATAAGGCACCCTTATAACATTATGCACAGGATAAATATAGGTAGATTTAATTTGATATATAAATGATCAAAAAATGTTATGAACGTAATGTTTCCAAAATCAATTATTAATTAAACATACAATAGTTACGGCAACTTTTTCAGTGGTACCCTGTTGTAAGTGTATTTCCCCATTCTATTCATAAATATACGTAAAAATTAGGTTTTGATTCAAAATATGGGGATAAGCGTAATCCTACAAACTATCTTAGACTCAGTGGCGTAGCTACCTAGGGGCTAGGCGGGGCAGTGCCCCGGGGCCCTCAAGCTCGGGGCCCTCGAATCCTTACCAGAAATCTTGATCGAACTGAACTTTTGGAAATTTCTCCCATTTTCAAAATAAATATGACAAGTTGCAACCCCACTTTAATCATGACAACTCAGTTGAGAGCAATTCAAAAGTTATGCCTAAGGAATTCCCCTAAATTCTTTCTGTAGGTTGGCAGTGTTGTCAATTTGACGGATAGTGATATGTGCGAATTCATGCACAGTGTATTGAACGGCATCAATAATTATGCATCCAAAGCTTTACAAAAATGCGACATCAATTTGGGCGAGGCGAGTAAACTTTTAGCCCAGAGACCAAAGCAAAGTTGCAAATTTATAGAAATGATTTCGAATTATTCAAGTGCAAAGCCAGTGAAACTGCAAGAAAATATGGTATTGATACCCATTTTCAAGAAAAAAGGCAAAGAAAAGTTAAAAAACATTTTGATGAATTAGCTGCTGATCACATATTTCCAAACCGAGAAAAAATATTTAAAATTCAGATTTTCAATAATGTACTACACACAGTAATATCTTAATTAGATACACGTTTTATTGGTATGAGTGCAGTCTGTCATATATTCGATTTTCCAACATTCGATAACACCAACATTTTTATTACATGCAACTTTATTACAAAAGTGTGACGAATTCCAAAGAAAATATTCAGATATAATAGGCCCTAGTTTTTCACTTCAATTTACTAATATTTACCACCTAGTTTTACCTCAACTAACTCAAGCATGGACTGTTCACCAATTATGTAAGGAAATAATGAGCAAATATGGAGTGCTAGAATGCGACATAACGGAAGTATTTACAGCAATATTATTATTCTTTTCAATTCCTGTCACTTCTGCAGCAGCTGAAAGGTCATTTAGCAAATTAAAAATAATAAAATATTATTTAAAAAATAATATGGGCTAAACTCGACTCCGACATTTATTGCTAATAGCTAATAGCAATTGAAAACAAAACCGCATCAATCCTGGATTTAAACGAAATCATTGATACTTTTACGAAAACTAAAGCTAGGATTTTTTTTAAATATAATTGTTATTTAGTTGGTAGGCCCGACCTTTATATAATAAACCCTTGAATCTTCTCTATTTCGTTTTATCAGCCAAACCTACACCAAGTATTATATGTAATTTATGTTGTTACTGTTTAATACTTTTATTACCTGCCCTGCAGTGCACAAAAAAGAGCTTAAGTAGTTTAACATTTTTAAAGTATTTGTATATTTCATATTTTTATTTGATAAAACCTAATCAGTTTACATAGCAGTGGGGCCCCATTTTTTAATTTGCCCCAGGGCCCTTGGTTATCTAGCTACGCCACTGCTTAGACTGTAAGGAACTAATAATATAAGTTGATAAGAAAAAACTTCCTATTTTCAAGGATCCTTAGGGTACAGACATGACATGAAATGCCACACTATGTTTGTACCCTTAGATGAAATAAAATTAAAACAAAAAATAATATACACTCATTTTTACTGTTAAAGTATTTATTTAAATTAAAAAGAGTATCTTATTCGTTTCATCTTCATGGGCCTGATTCCAAATCATTTGAAATTAATATATATGATTAATAAGTTTTTGATTATTATATGGGATAATATAAACAATTGAAATAAAAAGACAAATAGCCAGGAAAACATTTTAATGAAATATAAAACAGCTGAAGATAATGAATCAAAAATTATACTCTAGAAACTTAAAAGCAATCGAAATATTTGCTGAATATGTCAAACATTGGTTAATAGTAAATGGTAAATAATAGTAAACAGTGAACACATGGGTTTGCGTAGTACACATGGGTTTGCGTACTTAATATAAAAGGTATAATATAATATTATAAGATAATAATACTATTTATTTTCACTATATAGGTATAATATAAGATAATAATACCACAATAACACTATTTAATTTAACATCCAGAATGTTTCATATTTACTCACTTACTGTAATACTTAAGCGATAAGCTACGTTCATAAACTTAAAATATATTTTATTTTAAGTCCACGTTTTCGAAATTATCACTGTCAAAAATCAGAACCTCAAAAGAACTGGCACAATGCTCACAATTTTTGTGCGGAAACCACATCATAGCATTGAACGTATGGCCAGCTAGGATTTTTCCAATGATCATTTCACCGTCCTTTGTTAGTTTGCCGATGTATAGATGGCCCCCTTCTTCTATGCCCGCTATAATAGGATGGTGGTTTTTTGTGACCTTGTGAAGATTAGTAGCATCAGTTTGGAGCCATTTGAAACATCCAGCATGTTTGGTACACAGGATCTAGGAAAAATCTGTGTTAACTTTTGCAATCAATTATTTATTTTGAATGTTCCATTGCAAAAAAAGTTATATAGTTTTTCAAAAGTGGCTCATCTCTATAACTTTTTTATTTTCTCAGCTAAAAGAATGAAATTTGGTATGTTAGTGTTTAACATAAATCGGGATTGATGTATTCAATTCCTTTCGGTCACTTCCTGTTTCACCGGAATTTACTACAACTATTGATTTTTAAATAAGTACCATCGGTATTTTTTTACTTTATAGAAAATGACATTTTGCGTAGGATGACATATCATATTATGTCAGCTTCTGGAGTGGCATGGCTATGTTAAAACCAATAATTTATCTATTGGAAAAATAGATTTGATCGTCTAATATTTTTCCTGTGTTTTCCTGGCCGGTTAAAAAATGTTCAAATCGTATTTTTAATCATAAGTCATTTTCTTTACAAGTAAAACGAGGGTGGCTCATTAGCATATTTGGATAAAGCATTTTTTATGAATAACTTGGTGCCGCATATTTTAGATTGAAACTTAAAATGTTATTTTTTTTAATTGAAAATGTCAAAAGTTCATATATGTTATAAAAATAAAACCAGGACCACAATAATTTTCTGTAAAATAAAATAAAAAATACCCTCAGTACCATTTAAAAATCAAAAGTTGTAGTTATTTCTGGGGAAACAAGAAATGAACAAAACTAATTAAAAAATACGTCAATCTATTCTCATTTATATGTCATGTACCAAATATAGTTTATTTATCTGAAAAAATAAAAAAGTTATGGGGGTGGGCCACTTTTGAAAAACAACCAGTATAGTCAAAGCTTCAATATGAGAAAATATAATTTCATAAATAACATAATAAAGAACTGTCAATAGTTAAACAAGACTAGTGAGAAGAAACATTGTCAGAATACCTGTACAAAATTGCTGACTTCTCTTGGTCCATCTATGGAAGTGATTATGGGTTTTCCTGGTCGTATTGCTGTAGGATATACCCCAGGTCTTTCTTCTATGAACGCCTGGCCAATATAAGTTATTACACCTTTTTCATCAATTCCTGGAGAATAGGCATCGGCAGGAATTTCTCCATTGTAGTTTCGCCAAAAATAATCGATATTACAGTTCTTTGCAGCCATGCTGATTATTTATCAATAAACTTACAGAGCTGCTTTTTGAAGGAAATACTCGTATTATAAATATGTAACTTATCATTCTTATCTCTCATCGGTGATATAGCCCAGTCAAATTAGACAAATTGGTTTGGAAAAAATCCCATAGTTTTGAAAATGGTTTTAATTGATTCCTCTAGACTTGAGCTGATATGTGTCAAAAGTCCCCGAAGATAGACGATGAGCTAGAGAAGGGGAGAGGGGTTAAATTTCACTTTTATTACTTTTTAGATTATATCTCGGAAAATATGACACATACGAAAATACACCCAAATTGAAACTCAGAAAATTCTTTACTAAATTGGTTGAATGCATTTTTTTCATATGTCTAATCCTTTAAGAGTTAAAGGGTTGACAAAATTAACACTTTATTGTATTTTCGCATTTAAAATCCAAGTAAAGCCTAAATTTAACCTTTCATATTAATAATGGTAATATTAAAGGGTCCTTATGTTATCTTTCAAGTCTTCATTGTATCCTGACTTTTTGTCTTCCATTGGAGAGCACTAGTGCACGCACGACTTAACAATAACTGCAAGATTGATGAACTGATAATTGATGCAATTAATGCATCAAGTGAAAGATTAATACATTAATGCAAAAAAACTACACCGCAGCATTTAGAGCAGCTGCAAAGATTGCAGAAAGTATACGAAAACCAAGAATCATCGTTCATGGTCCATAATTGCTCAGAGTTGAAGATTTCAAAACAATTAAAACACACGTAGGTGGCGCCCTCTACTAGTAGGAATCATATTGACATCAAAATCAAATTTCTCATGTCAAAAAACTCCCAGACACCAATTTTCATCCAAATATTGACGTTATTTCAGAAATTATTTAGAAAAAATCGAAATAAAAATGAAACTACTACAACCTGTATCTCTGAAACTAAGCCTTTTAGGACATACGAACTTTTTTACTTATTTCTATCTGCAGAATATACTGCCAAAAATTCCGGAATACAGTTCGGACCACCCTGTATATAGTATTTTTCAGATGTCATAGTTTCCGAGATATAAGCAAAAAAGTGAAAAAATTGACATTTAATCTCCCCACTCCTCGAGTTCAACGCCTATCTTCGGGGACTTTTGACACATATCAGCCCAAGTCTAGAGGAATCATTTAAAACCATTTTCAAAACTGTGGGAGTTTTTTTCCACAGATGGACCTTTTTTTTAACTAATTTGACCGAGGTAACGGTTGAATATTCTTTGGTTATTAAGATTAGTTTTTTTTATTAATCTATAAACGAAATTGATTAAGGGGGAGAGTATAGTATAGAAAGTAAAGTAAAGATTTCAGTTAACCTCTCCTTTTTGCTGCCAGGGCTAATCTGGACGGGGCCTATTTTGTTTATGCGGAATCCGAACGGCGGTCCTCGGCCATATCATGGTCAATGGCCTACCCACTTGGCAAGTGTCTAAATCAACTCTTACTCACGAGATATCCGATCTCATCCGGCCTCGAACCGGCGTAAATGAGCAGTGTGTGTCAATAGATTTTACACTTTTGCCTTTATTGGACAACAGCACGATGGAGAGTTTCGAACCGGTCACCCGTCCATCCACTAGTGTCGCCTTACGTCGCTTAACTTCGGTGTTCTAATGGGAACCGGTGTTTCGACGTAGCTGGGTCGTTGCCCAGTATAGTATAGTATAGTATAGAGTTTCACATAGAGCGTACCCTGCGCCTTAAAGTACGGCTACTTAAGCATCCACATTTTCATCCGTATAAATTGCAGATTGTACAGGAATAAATTGAAGATGATCGCGATAGGATACTACAGTTTTGTGAGCAAATGACGCATTTACTTAACAAAATTACTATATGAACCCAAGCAACATACTTTTTTCTGACAATTCATCTTCCACGTTAAATTAACAGAACTGTCGTTATTGGACAGACAAAAGCAAACACTGATTAAGGGAGGACAATCCTCAATGGCCAGAGAAATTAGTCCAACGATTGGTTTGGTTTGTGGTTTGGTTTGGTTTGGTTTGGTTTGTTGGTTGGCATTATTGGTGACCAAATGTTAAGTCAAATATTTATCAATCATGATCTAAATGGCCAGACGTAGGTACTTACGATTTTTAGAAGGAGCTTATTGCAAGTCTGGCAATTTTATTCCCCGTTTTAGAACCTCTGTTAGTGCAAAGTATAGAAGATAGCTTAATAGGCGGTGCAAAAAACTCATCGCAACCTTATTAGAATATTTTGAACGGTAAAGCGGTAGTAATGGCCCTTAAGTGAGTTTTGTAGATGTAAATAATAACTGTTTATATTTTTATAGTTAATTCATTTTTATTTCCTAAAATATTTTTATTAAAAGAAAATATGTAAAAATGGGCAACGCTGTGCCAGTCAAGCTTAATCACGAGACTAAAAGTAAAATAGGTATGAAATATACCTTATTTCTATACTAGGTATATCTTCGTTCTATAGAAATATTTTTATATTTCTAGATTTTTATATTATACTAGTTGAAGCCTCACGCATCCGCCACGACATCAGGAAAAAAAATACTTTTTATTTTATTTTTTAATTAAATGAAAAACAAAAAATCCGGCGACGACAATTTTTAGAAAAGCCAATGAGCTATCGTTTAGTAAAAAAATCAATTTTCTAGAGCAAGTGGTTACTTCAGTAGAGACGACACAGATAAACATTAGCATTTTATATATGTAGATACTTTTATTAATAAAAGTTGTAAAACACAGCTGTATATTCATTTCAGTTGTTAAGCCATCACAGTTTTCATAACTTAAAAACACTACAAAATAAAGGTGTTAGATAAAGTAGCTATTTGTAATAGGATATTCTGTATAATCCAGATAATTAATAGGAATAGGTGTACAATTTTTTATAATAAATACAACGAAAATTATAGGGTATATGTTACAGGGGTCAGACCATAATAGGGATTTCTATGGAACAATGACGTGTTCAGGGGGTGTTAACCACACGCACACTTTTATATTTCGGCATAATAACATGGAGAATAAATATATAAAAATTAAACTAGCTATTATCGTTATAAGAGAGCATATTTCCTGGATTAGTTAGAAATAAATGCATATACGGGGTGTCTCTTAACTAAGTGCAAGTATTAAGTATTTTAAGGTATTTTAAGGGGTAGTAGATAAAATTATATGAAAACTATATTTTATATCTGTTATTTTAAAATAAATTGAAAATAAGGGACTTACTTAATTATGAAAATTAAAAAATAATAAATGATAAGTAACTGCTGATGTCAACCGGCTCTCAGCTTATTCCACATCCAGTGTTGCCACTTGCCACATGGCCAAAAAAGAATGCACTTACGTAATTCGTAATATGGCGGTAAAAGAATCAGTAATAATTGTTAAGATTTACTCTTTCAGTTAAGTTCAAAATACTTAATCTGTAAAAATCAGGGTTGGAATCATGATTTAAATCAAGTGATTTTTTAAATTTTAATCATGTGATTTAAATTAAAAAAAAAATTTATTGAAACTTTATAATAAATCAAAAAAACTATTAAACTGTTAAAGTTATAAAAATGTGTCCTAGAAAACTAGAAAAAATATTTTTATAACAGATATAACAGATAATAAATCGAAAAATAATTGTAAATGTTATAAAACTATATAAAAATATATATTCATCAATTTAAATGTTTTACACCGATTTTTGAAGTAATTTCGTGTAAATCGATTAGACCGCTAAATGCAGGGATTTATTTTAAAGTTTATGTATAAGTGACAAAAATTCACTGTTCGAATACATATCATTCACAAAGTCTAGAGCAGAACTAGGTTCTTCTCTCGGTTCTTCTGATATAGAGACTATATCTTCATTCCCGAGAATCTATAATAGTTGTCAAAAATGTGTTATGTGTGTATATTTTTTTGAAACAGTTGTATGTTTACAAATTCTTACCGACATTTTGATCTACAGTAAGTACTTTACACTTTGACTACTTTGTACGGAAGCGCTGAGGGGCCAGCTGAGTTATTTTTATATATGACTATAGTCAGATAATGACCGACTATAGTCAGATAACAAATAACTATAGTCAGATCATAACTGACTAAAGCCAGATAATAAATGACTATAGTCAGATAATAAATGACTATAGTCAGATAATAAATGACTATAGTCAGATAATATTTGTACACTTTTAGACGCTCCTGGATATGTTAAGCATGTGCAGTATATTTCGCAACAGGTGGTTTTCACGTGGATTTCATTAGCTGTTCAAAGAGAAATGAATAAGCTTGCGCTGTTTAGTTTACGATTTCGGGCCTACCTTTCAGAGGCTATAGGACATGAAAAATACTTAATTTTAAGCGGGGTCCAAAAATAGAATAAAAATATAGCCTTTTTATTTAAAATAAGAAAGTTTAGTGGCTTAGGAAAAAAACTATAAATTTGAGAGCATCCCCTCTATCACCATTGGATCAAGCTTAATCAAATATTCCCGTATACCAAATGTCATAAAATTAAGTCTAACGGTTTCTGAGATATATGGCCGTTTCGGGACTTTTGACTAACCCTGTATAATATTTTATATTACATAAAATCTTTATATGAGATTAGCTGGTACCCGACATGCGTTACAATGCCAAATGCTGAAAAACAATAATATAGTTGGAACATTTGCCAACTTTTGCCTAAATTTTAAATGAAGAACATAGTAATTTATTATCTGGCTATAGTCAGTTGTGTTCAGGGTGAGTTGAACTTTTAGCTATTAAATATGATGTAGTCTCAGATGGTCTCTATTTTATATACCCTGTATATAAACTTATGGTTAAAAATTGAGGTCTAAACTTAAAAAAATACATATTAGAATAAAAATGTATCAGTCAGACAGCAAAATATCGGGACACATAGCATCAGCGCTGTAATATACAGGGTGTTAATTAAGTATGTGGCCAAACTTCAGGGGGTGATTCTTTGAGTGATTTTAAGGAAAAAAATTCATATAAACATGTGTGTCCAGAAATGCATATTTT